TCCTTTTACTATGTCCCTTTATGCTATAAAAACTTTAATTTATCCAGTTTTTTTCTTTGAACATCAAAAACACCTTATAACTCTTACCCATCTTCATGTTTTCCTTTTATATACAACTTTTCCTTTTATATACAATTTTATTAATTGTTAAAATAATATCATTTTAACAATTAATAAAATTTTAAATAATTAAAAAGTATAGGATCCTAATACAGTAAATATTTCAATTTTTACCAAAATGGAAAAATATAAAACAAAGAAATAATTTTAAATATAAATATTATGCAGGTTAAAACTTTCAATAAATAAAATTATAAGAAACAAATAAAAACAACATATTAGATTTAAATGAAACAAGAATCAAATTAATAAAATAGGTTTTATAAATATTATAGGTTATAAATATATATTATGTAGCCAAGATACAGAGATGCAGGCTTTCGCTTTCACTGAAGGGTAAAAATTACATAAATATAATTCTTGTTACAGTTGGAACAAGAATTATATTCACAATTCCAGCAAATCCAGTTCCGGCCGGAACTGTAATTCAAAGTATATATGAAGAAGTATTTCATAATCATAATCTAGAAACAAGTCTTAAATTAAACCTGAATTAAATTCAGTTTTTAACTTGCCCCAGCCTCTTCGCCCCTTTCCCCCAACCTGCCCCATCCATTTACTTTTTAACATGTACATTTTTCCCAGAAAAACCATAATTGAACATTTCTTCTTACATAGTGTGTTTGCTTTTATGTATGATGTATGAAGTCCCTTTATGCAAAAACACAGTACTAAACATGCACATTTGAAAGCTGTGACATATAAGATAAGTGTTCTTTTGTGTTCTTTTTATACTTTTATTTTATATATAAAACTTATCATTTCTTATTTATTTATTGTACCAAAACTCATGGAAACCTTAGTTTATATTTCAAAACTTGTATCTAAATATATTTTTTTAGATAGAATTAAAAATAAATAGCAAGTGCATTTTTATAATCTAACTCAATGTTGTTTTGGAAAAACATTGAATAAAGATTGTCATGACATAATTTACTAAAATCAAGAAAACTAAATGTTTTGAGGAATTAACAGAAAAAAAGGATCAAGAAGTTGTGCACTTACAATGTAAATGAAACAGTACGTCTCAATCCAAGTTGGTGGTTTTTCAGTACATCTCAATCCAAGTCTCATTCGTTGGTGGTAAAAAACAAAATTTTCATAAAAGACTACTATTACTTAATATAAAAGAACTTTATTTAGAGTTAAAATTTCTTTTGAAAGTTCAAGTATTCAGTATCATACTCACAAACACATACGATGTGCTTGTGAGTACCACCAGAATACAAAACTTTTGGCACTAAAAATACCAGATATTTCAGACTATAAAGACCGCTTGACATTAAATGTATGTGACTGTGACAAATTAAGACTGCATGCTGCACAGTTGAGATGGGAATTTTTTATATTTTTTTCTTAAAATCAATTTGCCTATTACTACTGATGGAGAAATATTTTTTAAAGTATTTTTAAAATAATTTTAACCGTAACAGATTCAAAAACCCTCTGTGCAAACTCCTTTTTTTGAAATGAATTTTTCTAAAACTGTTGTGATTGAAATTTCTTGTTTTTAAAAGAAATAATCTTTATTAACTAAAATATTAGTTATAAAAAAAAAGTAACATATTTACATAGGGATGAAAACACCTTACAAACAGTGCTGTAGTTAGAGGGTCAGAACCTCATCCTTCCCACCACCCCAAACCTGCCATTAAGACGTTAAAACCTAGAAAACTTTCCATTACTAGGTATATTACTAAAAATAAAGTCCTTATATTTGAAAAATGGTCCACAATTTTGCAAACCCTGCAAATTGTCTAGCATGACTAGCCTCCATGCTTACAAACTATGCATAAAATCTAGTGGTAACTTGGGGTAAAAATATTTTTTGTTGAGTTATACTATTTTTAGTTATAAGTTTTTGAAAATTGTGTCATGGAATTAAACATAGTTCAATAAACACCAAATTATTTTTTATTACAATAACACGCATAGGCTGATCAAAGTTTATTACAGCGTCTCAGAAATTTGGCCAGTTGATAACATTTCTTTGAAGAAAATAATCAGTGACAAAAATCCAATAAAAAATATGATACAGTTCCAGTAACTATTCCAGTGGATGATTCTATTAAAAACACTTTTCAACAAATAAACCAATTAAGACCACAATATAGCCAAAAATCAACCAGCATATTTGCAGCATCTAAAATTGTTTTGCCTTACTTTAACCATTGCATTTTCCCTAGTGATGGTGCAGGTTCCCAATACAGAAGTTATAAAAACGTATCTAATTTATGTTACCATGAAAAAAATCATGGTGATATAAGTTAAATATGTAAAATGCAATACAAAATAGCATCTTTTTTTTTTTTTGCTACATCAAAAGAAAAGAATGCTTTTGATAGCATTTGGGGCTCTGTCAAAAGTCTTATACCAAGAGCCATGTTACAATCACAAACAGATCCTATCAATTTACTTGAGAAAATGTGTGATCAGTGTAGACAAAATATCAATGGAATACATTTTCTATAAATTTCAAATGATACAATTGTATTACATTGCATAAAGTTTAAATTAGAAAGAATGTTATAATACTTGTTTGACTACTCCAGGAACAAGAAATCACCATTATTT